CTAATTGCCCCCTCTCGTACAGGACTTCGTGACAATGGATCTTAGAGATACGACGACCAGTGGCGGACTTGTGTAGGTTCAAGGTGGTTCACTTGAACCACCTCAGATTTTAAAAAATACATTATATACTATATATCTTAGTTAATGACACAAAGAGCTCTTCATCCCAGTGACTAAGTACTTGGAAGCTAAAGTGTTGGATAATGCATGAGGTTTTGGGTTCGAACCCAAGCAGGCTAAAAATTCTTTTTCAAGCCAATGTTCTTTATTTCAATCCTTTATTTTGTTTGACTCCCCTTTATTATTATTTTTTCCTTTTGTGAACTCTTAATTTTCAATATCTTCTAATCATTCTATTTCTTATGATTATAAGTGTTGGATAAGAGTATTTTCCTATATTCTTACTTTTCTCTTCATTTTTTATGTTTGTCCTCTAAAAATAATGTTTGAAAAAATTAATGTATATTTCGAACCACCACTCGATAGGTTGTAGATCCGCCACTGACGACGACCCTTGGTCAGACGACCTCCTTCTCGTCGGCACGAGCTTCAAGAAGGCTTTGCGAACTCTTCACCACTTTCAAGGAACCGGCAAAAGATTAATAGTAAGAAATTGTAACTCGAAGAGAAAAAGAGAAGATGTATGAACTGTGGGGTTTTCCCCCTGTATCTTAGCTCTTGCGACTGTAGGGCCTTTTATAAGGTTTAACACCGTCGTTTAGATCCATCTTTTCCGCCCTTTAGATCCACTATTCACACCCTATTCAATATGTTAACCGTTTCCGTTCATTTATCATTTAAATCCATAAATCCCGCAATTAACACGTTTTAATTACTCGCCCTTAAAATCCATGAATCTCGCCCCATTAATGCTACCTGTTTTCTGCCATTTAGATCTGACAATCTCGCCCTCCAGATCCACCGATCTCGCCTATCAAAGCTTATCCAAACGTTGTTCACGTTTTAATAATTCCAAGGGCCGAGTGTGCGCACGCCTCTTGAGCTCCCCCAACTTCGAGTCCAAACCCTCGAGCTGTTGACTCTCCCGAGCTGTCCCGACTCCGAGTCTGAACTCTTGAGGTGTCGACTCTCCCGAGCTGACCCGACTCTGTGTCCTAACCCTTAAGGTGTCGACTCATACCGCCTTTCGTGTCGACCAGAGGGTATCGACTCGACCTGTCATCTCATTCGTTCGTTCGTGTCGACTAAGAATTATCGTCTCGCCTTTCATGTCGACTCGTCTAGTCGTCTCGTTCATTCGTCTGTGTCGACTAAGAGTTGTTGTCTCGCCTTTCGTGTCGACTCGTCTCGTCGTCTCATCTAACAACGCCTTTCGTGTCGTCTTGTCTAGTCGACTCGTCAGACAGCGCCTTTCGTGTCGTCTCGTCTAGTCGACTCGTCTAACAACGCCTTTCGTGTCGTCTCGTCTAGTCGACTCGTCTGGTTGGTTGACACGTCTACTCTTAGAGATCCAATTTGGGACCAAACTTTCCAAAGTTTTAAGTTACAATTCCAACAGTTCTCACGGGCGAAAATGTGCACTACATGTTCAATTGTTTTAATTGCACATAAAATTGTTATATTGTGGGGACTAATTGGGTAAGGCTGGCAATATTTCAAAATTTTTTGTTTTTACATACCTGAACTTATGTGGTTTTTCAATATGCAGTTAATTTGATAGAGGAATGTTGATATATTAAATGGTATTAAAGTTAACCTGATTTGAATTTTGGGAAAAATCCCAGAATGACTGTGATAATTTTGATTACTTTGTTAATTTGTTTACACGCTTGTAATCTTTAACAATTTGCAGTTTTTAAGTGTGTATGCCTTTTTTACATTGTAATGTTTGAAAAACTGATCCATGTTTTTCTTAAAAGCATGGCCAATCACAGCTAATTAAGTTGCACTACGTACCTTCAGCAAGTTAAAAGCTTTCTCATTGAAAATGGGTTTGTCTCACCAAAAATCCTGAAGTGAATAATTTCATTTTCACCTTCTTACTTTCATCCAATGCTTACTTAGTCCATTCTTTCTAACTTCACTCCAATGGTACTGTAAGACCTAGTGTTTTTGATGCCCGCCCGAAGTTTCAAAGTAAGTGATTCCAGGAAGTATCAAGCATGTCATGTATTTCTTCCATTACGATGATTTATTTTCAGAAATATTTACATCTATCAAGTATCCATTTTGTTTTATTGGGTTGAGTGTACGTTTATTCTTCTACTCTTTTATCGAGAACTTGTATTACGCACAGTTTTTTTCCTCATGCAAATGCAGTTGCCTTTTCTTCTGTTCCACCATTTGTGTTCCATTTTTTTCGATGTTCTTGATGCAAAACGCACTTGCTTGCAATGCATGGATAAATTAAGTAGATCATTTGTGATACAACCTTCGATATTTTAATGATGACAGACACAGGTTTAGTACATACCAAACGTCATTTGTTTAGACCAACACATTACTAGTTTGGTAGAAATTAAGCCCCAGTTTGCTCCAGTTTGCTCTCTCCTGCTGAGCATTCTGATACTAGATCTGATGAGGATGATGAAGTGTGCTCCTCTAGCTTAATGGGTTCCACTGGTCCAAAGGGTGAGAAGATGAAGAAGACAATGGCGGAAATCCTTGAATCCTGTGATTCTGAGTGTGTAGCTCAGAAGATTGGTGTTCAGGTGCGTAATCTGAGTATGTCCCCTTTCTCTTTGAATGGAGCTGCTAGTTCAGCAAAAGTATCATGGGCTGATGATTTGGATCTGGATTTTGCTTCAGATATTTCAAATCCTCTGGATCTAGATCCAAAATCGTCTGATGTTAATGATGTTATACCATCGGTTTCAAATCTAAATCTGGACAAAAATACTGTTACATTGATTACTGTTGGTAATCGAGAACATGTAAAAAGTGCTGACTCTGATAGATCTAAGGAAGTTAATGAAAATGTTTCTGTTTCTACACAAAAGACTAATACCAGAAGCTGGGTGAGTTTCTTTTCAGACAACAGAAAATTGGGTAGTGGCCTAGATTTGAGCTTCATTCCATCAAGTTCTAATGATGTTGTTACTTTTAATGAAGAAGAATGGCTGGAGGGAGCATCTATTTGGGAATTTTCGCTTGTGGGACAAGTGATGGGTCTAAATGTTAAATTTAAAGCAATGGAAAGTTTTGTTCAGAGAGTCTGGGCACCCTTGGCAATACCTGAAATATGTCTTCTCAAAGCTGGTGTGTTCTTATTCAAATTCAAAAGCAAAGAGGAAATGAATGATATCCTTTTAAATGGTCCTTGGTTTTTTGGATCAAGACCTATCCTATTGAAACCTTGGTCAGTTGTTGAAGGTTTTGAAAAGATAAATGAATGTCGATATCCAATGTGGATTCAATTCCCTGCTCTGAGATTAAATCTTTGGAATGCTAAAGGGATAAGCAAGATTGCTAGTGTTATTGGTCGCCCTATTGCCACTGATAAACTCACTGCAAATAGACAAAGATTGGCATATGCTAGGGTCTTAATCGAAGTAAACTTGCCTTCCACTTTACCAGATTTTATTTCCATACAAGGACCTGATGGGTTGCAATATACTCAGAAAGTGTTATATGAATTGAAACCAAGATGGTGTGAGTATTGCAAGAATGTTGGACATGATACAAAATTCTGTAAAAAACATCCTACTAAACAGAGATGGATTCCAAAACAAAAGGAAACAGTAATCCAAGCAGACCAAGGAAACTCTGGGGTTTTGAATAAGAAGGATAATACACCTGGTAACTTTGATACAGGGAATTTGAACTCTGGAAACATGGGAAATGATAAGATATCTGATTCAGTTCAAGAAAATTCAAATATTGGCTTGGTGCAAAATTCTTCTTCAGACCACAGAGATGTGCATGTTGTGCAGGTCCAGTCTCCTGTCCCTGTGAAAAATAAAGGCAAGGAACCTATTCAAAGACCATGGATTCACGTTCATGGAAGTAAAAGTAAGGATAAACCATTTCCAGCAAATTCCTTTTCTCCTTTAGTGAATTTAACTTGTGTTCTGGACCCCTCTACCTTAGATAGAGGGGGAATGTCTAAATGAATCTTTCCTTTTGGAATATTAGGGGATTAAATAAATCCCCTAAACAACATCTAGTAAAGCAACACATTCATCAATACCATCTATCTTTTGTTGCTCTACTGGAAACTAAAATCAAAGAAGGAAAACTGCCTGTAATAGTTAAAAAAATTGCAGCCAACTGGAGTTTTTTTTCAAATGAAAACAGATCAGGCACTGCTAGAATTTTGTTGCTATGGGATCCAAACATTCTGAATGTACAAATTACTTGTTATTCAGCCCAACATATCACTTGCAGAGTTATTTCTATTGATGGAAGGTTTAATAGTTGCATATCTTCAATTTATGGATTCAACCATCTGGAGTTGAGAAAAGAGCTTTGGTCAGATTTATTCCAGGTTCATCAAACTATAGGAAACTCTCCTTGGCTCCTCAGTGGTTATTTCAATGCTTTGCTGAATAATGAAGAGAAACTAGGGGGAGCATTGCTTAATGATTCTGATACTTTGGACTTCAGAACTTTCACAGAGGATTGCCTACTCTCTCATCTAAAAACTTTGGGTTGTTTTTACACTTGGAATAACAAACAGGATACGACCACAAGAGTCTGGAGCAGATTGGATAGATCCTTAGTGAATGATCATTGGATTCAGACTTTTAATTCCAGTCTAGTTGAGTATTTACTCCCAAGTTTCTCAGATCATTCTCCAGGTCTTGTCACTATATATGATGATGAAATTCAAGGTAAAAAGCCATTTAAGTTCTTTAAGATGTGGACTAAGCATCCAAATTTCCTTCCTATTGTTTCTTCAGTTTGGCAAACTTATATTGAAGGGTATAAAATGTTCTCTGTTAACTCAAAGCTCAAACTTTTGAGAGGTGCTTTGAAGAACCTCAATCAGAAGCACTTTTATAATATCAGTGATCAAGTGAATAAAGCTAGGTTGGAGGTGGAGGAAATTCAAAAAAAGATACAAGATGAGCCTTTAAACTCAGTCCTTATCAGCCAAGAAAAATGTAGTATATCCTCTTATAATAGACTCTTGGCTTGTGAACTGTCTTTTTTCCAACAAAAAGCTAAAATTGCATGGAGCCTGCAGGGGGATAGGTCCACAAGCTATTTTCACTCAGTTATCAAATCAAACAGACATCATAATAGAATTATGGTTCTTTATAATAGCTCTGGTGATAGGATTACTGATGGTGAGAGTATTGCCAGTGAGCTAACATCTTTTTTCAGGAACCTCATGGGCACTGCATTTGCTTCTGCAAAACCTGATATGAATATCATCAAGAATGGATACTGTCTGAATGATGTTCAAGCAAGTGCTTTAGCTGCTCCTGTTTCCAAAGAAGAGATAAGAAATGCTGTGTTTTCTTTGTCTGACAATAAAAGTCCAGGTCCTGATGGCTTCAGTGCTTCCTTTTACAAGTCAACCTGGCATATAATTGGAGATGATGTTACAACTGCAATTGAAGATTTTTTCAAGTCTGGAAAGCTTCTGGGTGAAATTAATACTACTTCTATAACTCTAATACCCAAGGTAAATTGTCCTAAATCTCCTTCTGATTTCAGGCCAATTTCATGCTGTAATTGCATCTACAAGTTTATTTCAAAGATTCTTGCTAACAGAATCAAACAGATACTGGATTGTCTCATAAATGAAGCTCAATGTGCTTTTGTAAAAGGAAGGCAAATCTCTAATAATATATTGCTAGCTCATGAGCTTGTCAAAAACTATGGAAGAAAGAATATTTCACCAAGGATCATGTTGAATATTGACATAAAGAAAGCTTTTGATACAATCAATTGAAGTTTCTTGGAGGATATGTTAAATGGACTTGGTTTTCCAAAGAAGATGGTATTATGGATCATGGCGTGCATTACTTCTCCAAAATACTCTATTTCTCTCAATGGCACACTTCATGGATTTTTCAAATGTGAAAGGGGCTTAAGGCAAGGTGATCCCCTTTCCCCCTACTTGTTTATCCTTGGCATGGAGTATCTTTCTAGGAGTCTTGAAAATCTGAAGCATGATAGATCTTACAAGTTTCATCCAAAATGTGGGAAATTAAAAATCTCACATTTGATTTTTGCTGATGACTTATTATTGTTTAGTAGGGGGGATTTGAGTTCTATTCAATGCCTGCATAAATGCTTATCAAACTTCAGTGCCGTCTCTGGCCTTGAAGCAAACCATAACAAATGTTCAATTTTTTATGGTGGTGTAGCGGAATCAGTCAAGGCTTCTATTCAAAGTTTTATGGGGTTCCCTGAGGGTAATCTGCCAATTAGATACTTGGGTGTTCCACTCATATGCAAGAAATTATCATATGTTGATTGTTCTCCTCTTCTAAATAAAGTCTCAAATCAACTTCAAAGCTGGTGGAAACATAGGAAGCTCTCTTATGCTGGTAGATTGCAAATTATTAAGAGTGTCATCCTTGGCATTCAAGTATTTTGGACTTCATGCTATGTCTTACCAGTTAAAGTATTGAAAAAAATTGACGAGCTTTGTAGGAATTTTCTGTGGGGAAGAACAGAACAGGTTCTTAGACCTCCTTTGGTGGCTTGGGACAAGGTCTGCACTGGTAAAATCTATGGAGGATTGAGTATATTTTCAGCTATTTTATGGAATATGGCTACAGCTTTGCGAACATTATGGTGTATTCATGAAAACAAGGAAACAATGTGGATTAAATGGGTTCATAGTAACTACATCAAAAATGGAGATGTTTGGCATGTAGAAAGCAAGAATGGAGATTCCTGGTTATGGAAACAGTTGCTAAAAATCAGAAACAAAGCAATTTTTACCTGTGGTGGGATTGAAAACTTGAAGACTGTGATCAGCTCCTGTAGCAGAAATTCCAAAATTCTTGTTTCAGGTCTGTATAATGCTTTATCTCCTGTTAATGCAAAAGCTCAGTGGCATGATATAGTTTGGGAGAACTGGAATTACCCCAAACATAATTTTATATTGTGGTTAGCAAATCAAGACAAGCTCCTAACCTAGGATAAACTTCAAAGAAGAGGAATCATTCAGTCAAATAGTTGCAGTTTATGTTTAGGAACTAGGTTGGAAAATCGAAATCATCTCTTTTTTGAGTGTCCTTTTTCACAAGTGGTCTGGAATGAGATTACCAACTGGCTTCATTTCAAGTGGCGATCTTGTAATTGGATTTTGCTCATGAATTAGTACTGTAATAATTTGAAGGGGAGAGGTTCCAAAAAAAGAATCAAAAGAATGGCTTTATCCACCACTGTCTACTGTATTTGGAAAGAGAGGAATGGGAGAATTTTCAAGCAAACGTATAGGAATCCTGAGGTGCTGATCAAAGAAATCAAGGTGGAGTTGTTTACCATAATCCTAAACAGCTCCTGTCCATCTGAGCTTAAGGATTGGTTATCCTCATTATAAGTTGGTAATTTTGGCTCTAGATTTTAGTTTTTTCTTCTCTTAGCCATATTGATATCTCAGTTGATAGAAATGTGATGTACATAACTTTTCAAATGGTTTTATGAATAATACTTTTTCATTGACCAAAAAAAAAAGAAATTAAGCCCCAAATATTTTATCTTCAGTGCCAAATTAAGTTATGTCTACAGTGTCAAGAGTGACATTTTTACTTGTAATTTGCTGGCGGGATTAATCCACGTGACATACCCAATGGTAGGGGCTTGGATTATCTGCAAGCTATGAAATGTTGAGAAATAAAACCTCCCAATGGAAAGTGTCCCATTAGGAATGTATGAGAATCTATCACGAGTGTATCCGCGTTATTCATTGATACAGGTGTATCTTCTTTTCTGCTTCGGGAGCTTAGCGATCCTCATGGGAGCTTAAGGATAGGTGATTCTCATGATATCTTGGGAATAGAAGCGTGGTTGGAGCCATAGAGGACGGTGAAAGAAGTCAGAAGGAGCAAAACGCAGAAGAACAGGAAGAACAGGCAGATCTCTGTCCGGTCGACCGCAGCGACATGCGCGGTCAACCGCCAACCTGCACAGAGCAGGGTTTCAGACTGGAACTCTGTCCGGTCGACCGCGATGGTCACTGCGGTCGACCGCGACAGGTTCCTGGGCCTTTTCCTGGTTCGTTTTGGATTCTGTTTTGACGGGGATTCCTGATCCTTTTGGACTTGTTTATTTACAAGATTGCCACCACGTTGTAAACCTTATAAATAGGGATTGTTTAGGGTTTCTAAAAAGGAGGTTAGATGCCAGATGTAGATCTAAAGGGTTTTAGGTCTAAGTGAGATCCTAATCAAAAGGATTAGGGTTTAGATGTGAGGATCTTAGAGATCTTAGATCAGAGATTGTATTCTAATCAAATCTCAGAGAGAGGGATTAGGGTTTAGAGAGAATTGAGAGTTTGTTCTCGATTCTAATGAGATTGTGAGAGAGGGATTGTAATCTTTTCATACTCATAATCTAGAGAGGGTATTTGCCTTCGCCATATACTGAATTGTGCTTGTGTTTCTGTCGTTTTCTTCTCAACCCACTCTTGATAATTCCGCGATCAAGAGTGCTCGCACGGCAACTCGTATCATTCATCTCCTCTTCATGATTTGAATACAATCACAAGGGAAGGAACCTAAATTATATTTCTATTCTTTTAGTGGTTCAAGTCCATGCACCTCCAATATTTCTGAAAACGGATATCTTCTAAGCTCTTTATAACTCGTCATATTTGTGGGAGGAAGGGCATCCATTGCTAGACTGTAGGAGTCATGTAGTCTTAGATATTTTCCAATACCTGGTCTGCTTTTGCTAACATACTTAGCCTTGTGGTAAGCACTCAACAAACAATTGACAGATAAAAGATCATGACAACTCATTATTCTACATAGAAAACCCAATGAATTAAAGAATACTAACTACACATGGATCCATAGAGGAAAAATAATTGACAAAATCATGTGAGGACCTCTTTTGCTAAATCACTCACATTTTTAACAAGCGGAGACTACTTAATAATCAAGGACATACCAGGTAAAGATGGTATACCAAATAACACCTTTCACTAGTCAAAGGTGAACCACTATATAGAATAAGAATTTCTTAGCCAAGCTGTTCTCTTCAAGTAACAATGAAAACTCAAAATTTTCATTTAAACCAATAAAACAATATAATATTGCTTGTCTAAACTAGAAATCTAGCTTGGATGATTCCATCCTTGGATGCAATTCTCAATGGGAATTCATTCACATACTCAATTTGACTTTGCACAATAAATTGCTCTATAGGTCCAATCTGCCTTGCATACCCAAAAAAGCCAAAACAGGCCATGTTTTGATTGAAATTATTGCATACTGAACAAGACGTAGAGAGTGATAGAGGATTGAAAGGCTCCTTCTCCAATTTGGTATATGCATAATGGTTGTAGACATTAAAAAATGCCAAAATTCGAAAGGTGAAAAGGAGGGTCAGGGAAACGAACCTCTTCTCAATCGGAAACGAGGTTCGTTGTTCAACCTCGAGAACGAGAGTCGCCATGCAGCAGAACTTAACATCGAAGGATAAAGCTCATTATTGAACGAAGCATATCTACGAGACTCGGAGCTCGTCATTGGACACGAGGTTCGAGGTTCACTAGTAGATACGAGACTCGAAGCTCGTCATTGGACACGAGGTTCGGGGTTCACTGGTAGATACAGGGTTCGAAACTCGTTATTGGACACGAGTTGAACTCTAGTTGTCAAAGATGAAGCTCGTCATTGGAAACGAGGTTCGAAGCTCGTCATTGGATACGAGGTTCGGAATTCATCATCAGACGTGAAGTTCGTTAATGAAAACAAAGCTTGTCATCAAACTTAAAGCTCGTCAGTGAAGACGAAGCTCATTGTAAAGAAGCTCACGAGGCTCGCCACGCAGCAAGGCTCAATATCAAAGACGAGGCTCGCCACACAGCGAGGCTCAATATCAAAGACGAGGCTTGCCACACAGCGAGGCTCGATATCAAAGACGAGGCTCGCCACACAGCGAGGCTCGACATCAAGGACGAGGTTCGCCAACGCAGTGAAGTTCGTCGCCCACATTAAATCAGGCTGTAACGGTCACAAAGACCCAATCAGCCACGTGGGCTAAATTCAAGGAGTCAGTTACGCCACGACTCAACAATTGCAGCGCATCAGTTACGCCCACGACTCCACTATTGTAGCACGTCGGTAACGTGCTTAAAACCCTATAAATAGCCATCGACGGCTACAGAGAAAAGGGTTGATTATCAATTAATTGGAGATTTTCAAGCTTGGACTTAGAAAAGCATCAGAGCTTAAAGTTTCTGACCGTCAATCCGGAGTTCGAACCTCGATTTCAGTCGGCTAACCTACGTCAGAAGCTCCAGCAATCTTGTTCTGATCGTCAACGGGAGGCAATCTCGACTCAAGCGTCAGGGGAAGCATCCTTTCGCCACCTAGAACCCACCTTAAACAAAAGAGAAGCTGAATTAATCTTCCCTTCCTCTGTAATCGAGAGAGAGTGAGTGATTGTAAGGGTTCGTACTAAGTGATCGAACCCAGTTTTCTTAAAACAAGAGAATCAATCAATCTTAAATTTTTTCGACCCTACAATGGTATTGGTCAAATTTTTAGATAATGGCAATTTAACTTTCATCGTAAGATCCCTCATACGCAACAAGCTAAATAAAACTAGCCAAATTTCCGGTGACAACCATGCTTTAGTTTCTTGCATAAAAAAAAAGAGGACAAAAACTAAGAAGCGAACCATGCATGTGTGCTCCTGTTCAAATTAAATTGACGTGTCTCAACCAGAATTGGCGTTTCTCAACCAGGAATTATACCTCTGTGGGCACTGGTGGATTAGTTGGTTTGGGCTTTTTCCTGAAGATTGGAACCTCGTCGTCATCTTCGTCGTCATCAGGGACACTGGTGACCACCTTGGCTTCATACTGATCGAGCTCGTTCGTGTCGAGATCTTTCGCCTCGAAAGTGATGTAATAGTTGACAGGGCAAGAGACCTCTGCATTACAGTTGACGATTCCCGTGATATCGAGACGGAGTTCCCTGGCACCCTGTAACAATAATAACAAGTTTAACAATTATTTTAAAGATCCCGTCGTAGATTCGTACGTATTGGGGGAACAAAAAGAAGCAGCACCTCTTTCACACTCTCTTCGTTTTGGCGATCGACGGCGAAGCGGGCATAATTAAGAATTTTCCCCCTGAAGTTCGCGGTCATAGTATTCATAATGGGTGTGATGAGACCGAAAGCAAAAACATTAGGGAACTCAGGAACCTCAAATCCCTATAGAAGAAGAATATTTAATGAGGAGGAAGAAGAAGAATAATAAATTAATCGGAAATTTTAATTAGAATAATTGGCATATTTTAACGGATTTTTAGGGTTAGGGCTAAAGGGGGTTTACATCGCTGCGCATGACAGCTTCGCTGTAGCGTTCCGTCTCTTCCGCGGTCATCGTATGGAGACCATCGTTGTAGAACTCGTCGTCGGAGAGATCTTGCTCGTCGCCGTAGACACGTCCCTCCTCCTTTGCCGTCACCGTCATCGTCGTCATCTCCTCTGACGTCATCTTTGCCTTCTTCGCCGGAGATTCAGGCACTTCGTCCGTCGCCCTCGCCGTCGACATCCTCCAATAACCCTAGCAAACCCTAATAAGAAAAAGTCGATCTCTCTATCTGCCCCCCGCTTTAAATACTAATCACGGCCACAATGACCTTTTTGCATATTAGTGCCACTTCAAAATTGCTCATAAGTCCCTCAGACTCCAAGAGGTCTTGCGAATCGGTCCCTCAACAACAAAATGCCCCTCATCTCAATACGAGGCCCTTGAGGGATATTTGAGTCCGACCCTTATAGAGAATTAGTGGTTCACTAGTAGAAAATCACGTATTCTAGACGGAATTTTTTCCGTCTAGAATGTATTAAACTAGACGGAATAAAATATTCCGTCTAGAATAAAACATTCTAGACGGAAATATCCGTCTAGAATAGTATCCTAGACGGTTTCTATATTTTTTTATTTTTTTAAAAATTAACCATGTATTCTAGACGGAAATTTCCATCTAGGATGTATCCTAGACGGAAATTTTCGTGTAGGATGTTTTGGCTCATAAAAAAAAATTAAAAACCAAAATCCCCCCCCCCCCCCCCCCCCCCCCCCCCCCTCCCCCAACCCAAAATAAACACCGATCTTCGTTCTCTCTCTTCTCCCTTCACCCAAAAATCCCCATATCCTCAGCCCCTTTATCCCCTTCCTCCTCATCACCTTCACCATCCGCCACCAGCTCCCCCAACACAAAATAAACACCGATCTTCGTTTCTCTCTCTCCCCTCTCCCCCTCCTGTTTTCTTCACCTCTGCACTCTCTGAGTTTTCCCCCAATTTTTGGAAGCCCTTTTCTTCTTTCCTCTTCAATCAAAGTCGATCGTAAATATATTAGATCGCCTGATTCCTGGAACCTTATCTCGTTGTT